TCTGCTGTTGGGTGTGGCCTATTATGCTAATAAGTTCCTGCTGGGCTTTTTCTACAAAAAAAGCGCCCTGGTTATTTTGATTGGTCTTAATAAATGGTATTACATGATGTTTGGTTTTGGATTTGGACCTTCAAAGCCTTATACTAACATATCTATGGGACCGCCTCTTCCCATATATGCCTCGAAGAGCGTTACACTCAAAAGATCAACACCTCCTGGTGGTCCCTGGCCCGAAGGACACCTGTCTTGCCTCAACCAGGGCCAGGGCTTTCTCTGCCCTGTCCCCAGCCTGGTGGAATATGCTCCCTAGTGAGACCAGGATCTCCTTCAATTCCGCAGGGCCTGCAAGACGGAGCTCTTCCGCCAGGCCTTTGGCTGAGGCAGCGAGCGCCTGTCTATGGCCTCCCTGAGGTTGCCGCCACCCGTCTGTCACCTGTCCACTGACAACTGGCCTTTAACTGGCCAGAACTCTATGGCCAACTGATGCTGTTTCAAGCTGTCCCCATTGTTTTAATTGTTCTAATGTTTTATTGTGTTTTTGTTTTAAACTGAAATTGTACTTGTTTTAATGATGTTACCCACCCTGAGCCCGCCCGCAGGATGGGCGGAATATAAATGCAAATGATAAATAAATAAATAAAAAATAAATTTCACCCTGGGCCAGTCCAGCTAACTACATATTTTTTTTGTCTCAAGAGAAATAACTTTATGCCAACAGCAAGGAGGAGGTCATTGCTACAGGCTTCATGCAAATGCCATGGCAAAATTAGTTAAACTCTGATTGGGCACGAATGCCACTTTGCTTCCTTCGTTCCTCCATAGGGTTGCTAGCTCCAGGTTGGGAGATTCCTGGGGATTTGGAGGTACAGTCTGGCAAGGGCAGGGTTTGCGGGAGGGGAGAGGAGGGACTAGGGCTCCCAAATCTCGCCAAATCATGGCGGGGGATCGCATGTCTTTGCAGAATCCCTGCCGCGGGGACGGCGAGACGTGTTGCACTGCTGTTGCCAGGACATGACGCTACGTGTCGCTCTGGCAACGGGGCTCAATCCCTGGCATCTCCAGGTTACCAGGTAGTAGCTGATGGGGCAGATCCCTCTATCTCAGTGATGGCGAACCTTTTAGAGACCAAGTGCCCAAACTGCGACCCAAAACCCACTTATTTATCACAAAGTGCCAACACGGTGATTTAACCTGAATACTGAAGCTTTACTTTAGAAAAAACAACTCATATATTAACTTAAGATGATCCAAACAAAGTAAAGAAAGCAATCCCAAATGCTTTCATTTACTTAAAATTATTTGGCAGACAATTCAACACTTTAATGATGGTTTGGGCCTGGCTGGGGCGATGGCACACGTGCCCACAGAGAGGGCTCTGAGTGCCACCTCTGGCACCCGTGCCATAGGTTCGCCACCACTGCTCTATCTGATATTCTATCTGATACTCTGGAGAGCTGCTCTGAGTTTGAGTAGACAATACTGACTTTGATGGACCAAGGGTCTTATTTAGTAGAAGACAGTTCCATGCGTTCACGAGTTTAAAACTCCCTTAGTCAGATACAAGTAAGAACAGAGTCCCTTAACCCTTTAGGGTTGTCAGTCCTCAGAGGGTACCTGCAAAATGTAGTCAGCAGGGTTACAGCAGGGGAGAAATGCCCAGGGGAAGAACATGTAGGAAATTAGCACCTGTAGTGAAATAAGAATCCTATGTCCAGGGGTCGTTTCGTAGAAAAAGAGCTAGGGGAACTCATTAGCATAACTCATTAGCATATGCCACACACCCTGACATCACCAGAAGTGTGTCATAGGGCCACACACCCCGCCCCCAATGGTCCCGGCCGCCGGCGGGAGTGCAAGGAAGCCCTGTCAAGGCCCTCCCTGGCCCCAGACAGGCAGGGGTGGGGAGAGGCAGGGAGGAAGCAACTTACCCTCCCTCTTCTCCTGCCTCCTCCTGGCTGAATGAGGTCCGGAAGCAGGGGGTGGCCGGAAGAAGGGGGCGGGGCTTCGTCATGTGCCCCACCCCCGTACCTCACCCGGGGGAACTGCGATCCCCTGCGATCCCCCCCCGAAATGACCTCTGCCTATGTCCCTATTCAGCTCCGGAGGATTCCATTGCTCCGAATTTGTGAATGAGCTCCAGTTCGGCCACCTCACCTTGCACTCTCCCTTTGAAGCATCTCTGCTTGACAACTCCCAGTCCAGCATTCACTTTGGGATTGTCAGTGGATAATAATAATAATTAATCATCATCATCACCACCTAGTCTGAGCCTGTGCTCTCAAACATCTGTTTGATTTCCAAAAAAATTAATAGCAGATGAAAGGTGTTTTTGTTTGTTTGGACACAGAGGTAAGCACATGCCTTTGCCGGAGGGCTCTGAAAAGGCCAGGAGCCTTGAGGGTGAAAGTTGGCAACCCTCCACCGGCTCGCTCTTGCTCACCCCCCCTCCTCCCGTTCACCTCCCGCGCACGCGCGGAGCGGAGAAGGCGGAGCGAGGGCCGCGGCCGCATCTCCGCTCCTTTATTACCGGGCGGCGATGACTCTCCTTTGCACAGAGGCGGCGGCCGCGGCGGCGGAGAGCGGCATGATGGCCCAGCCGCAGCGGGTCTTCACGCTGCCCCGGCAGCACTCCTTCTCCCCGCCGCAGGTCCTCAATCCCTTCGTGCAAGAGAGGCGCCTGGATGCCAAGGACAAGTACCGGGTACAGCGCCTGCAAGCAAGCAAGCAAGCAAGCAAACAAACAGGCTGCAGGGCGGGGCGGGGAGGAGGGAGAAGGCTTAAGGAGAGCATCTGGGGTGAGAGGGCGGGGCGGATGCTTGCAAGGAGACCCCCCTCCCCCGTGCAATAATTCCCCACCCTCCCCGAGGCTGGAGAGGAGAAGCGCAGGGCAGGTGAGCGGAGGCGCCCGGGGGCGCCCGGTTGCAGCCGTGCGCTCGGAAAGGTGCAGAGAGGTGCGCGCCCGGCACGTGCGCATCTCCCCCCCAGCGCAAATTCCCACGCGGGCCC